CTGCCCGGGGCCAGGGGGGGGGAGCTGCTCCGCCATGAATTCTCCTACTGCTCCAGCTTCTGCCTCTCGCTCGCCTCCTGCATCCATCTCAAGGCACTTGATAACCATGGGCCAGCAGCAAGATTCCTGATGGAAATATGGTGAAACAGAGAGAGGAGGTGATTTTCCCAAAGGGGTTACACTTCTTTCAGCCTCAGGATCTACTGTGACCAGCGAGCTCTCCTTGCTGGACAGAGACAGGCTCTTCCAGAGGGACACCCAGCACCAAGATCCTGACCAAGCTGCTGGCTGTGTGGTCAGTCGGGACGCACCCACCCCTCCAAAGGGGAAACCGGAGCAGGAGCCTACCCGAAATGGTACGAATTGGCCCCCCAATTCTTCCTCTGTTGGCGACTGCTATGGAGTAGCACCACAGGCTGTGCCCACTGAGCTCCCGACACGTCACCCGTCTTCAGCTGAACACATCCTCTCTCTCTCTCCTTCCCGCCTCCGTGTTTAAAATCCATTCCCCAACACACCATTACACCTCTTGGAAGTAAATACAGATTTTGGAGCTGAACACGAGGCTCAGGTGGCATTCCAGCACACCAGGGCAGTAGCAGCATTCGTACCTATTCTTGATTACATGATTTTCCTTAAAAAAAAAAAAAAAGACGCAGAACATCAGAGAAATTCCTTATGCTGGGCTAAGGATTTGGGAGGCACAGTTGCCATGACAGCCCCTCACGCCTGCCAGTCTTGCTGCACCATTCAACTGCTCGTTCCAGCACTCGGCGTTTGCCCCCGTCCGTGTTATTGCGGAGGTTAAATCGCCATCTCAGTCGTGCCCAGTTTCCCAGCTCCCCCTTGCCAACAGGACTGGGTGGCAGGGTCTTGGGTTATTGCTTTCCGCTCACCTTTAAATAAACAGAGGGCTCTGATGGAGGTAAGCACCCGCAGCACAAAACCACCCTTTCGACGCAGGACTGCTTGCACCCCTGTGCAACTCCAAGAGACTAAGTGATTCAGGAGCACAGAAAGGATTTTTCAAGGCTCTTCGGTACCTCCCACACTAAATAATCTTCCTTTTCCTTACGGCTCAGACTGGACAACAATGCAGACACTGCAGTGAGACTTTGCCTATGCTGTCTCTGTTCTCTGGCTAGTTTCCAGGGAAGTCAATGCAATATTAATCCTCTTGGAACATGGATGAATGTTCAAAGACCCTGAAAGGCTTCATCAGAATAAAAATGGGCATTTTATCAACACAAAGGAACAGGGATGATTGGCGGATGGAGAAAAAGGTGCAATCAGAAAGTGAACATAGCGAGGGAGACAAAACAGCGCAGAAGCAAACCCCCCTGGGGCACACTGCCCTGTCCTCCCCTCCGCTCCCACGCCTGGAAGGAGCCATGTGCTAACTATGGGATGTCATAAAGATTGCGGCTAATTAGGAGGAAATGTGGAAAGAACAAACTACATGTCTAAATCTTATATGAAGCCAACAGAAACGGCACCATGTGAATCCCAAGAAATTCCTCATCCCCTAAGAGGGCACTTCCAGAAACACCAAAGGAAATTCCAGTCACTAAAACCCAGCGGGACCCACGCTCCAGCCAGCCTTTCCAGATTCTTCCAAGCAATAGCTTCTCCCATCCTTAACCAAGGCTTGGCTGTGTCTTTCCTGAGAGTTCAAACACAACAGAAGCCTTTGCGCAGATGTGCTTTTTCTCCCCTACCCCAGGCCAGACAAGGACCCTCTGCTCCCGAATGGTTACTCCCCTCCCTCCTCGTGCATCCGTTCCCAAGGACTTGGATATAAGAGGAGCCCCCCTGCAACTCAAAGCCTGTTCTCAATATAGAATTAGGAGAATTACAATAGGTTTTTATTTTTATCGCATCTTCCTCAGTCCTTCCTAGGACTCCCGGATCCTCGTAACGCCACGTTTGCCTGCTCTCACCTTGGCACAGAGGGATCGCTTCGTTCCAGTGGAAGTAGCCCGGAGGGTGCTGGGCGCAGGTGGTGGTGCTGTGGCCAACGAGACGGTAGCCGGTGTCGCAGCCAAAGCGGACCGTGCTGCCAGGGTGCAGACCCGTCTGGCTGAGAATCAGCCCGTGGGCTGGCGGTTGCGGGAGGCTGCAGTAAGGAGCTGGAGAGAAGGGCAGAGGAAAATAAATAAGTCACCAGATGGGCTGGATGAAGGCAAATTCCCTTCCCGTTCTCAGGAATTGCACTGTGTTTACCATAACCTAAGGCTGAACAAGAAATAGAGAACTTGTGATGGATAAATACAAAGTCAAAGGGGGAGAGTGTGCAGGGCTACTATCCAAGTTTCACTTGGTTCTAGAAATAAAGACTAATTTCTGATAATTAAATATTACTTAATTCATTTACTGAGTAAAGTCATTATTTATTTATGACATGCTGGCAAGTTCTCAACCCAGTTCTATAACTTCCAGTAATTAAGATTTGCTAAGTTCCACAACGCAGTAACTCATTTTCAAGAAATTCTCAGCAAACACTCAGTATCCAGCAGCGGTTTTGTGCTGAACGAGCAACCGAGACTCCCCAGTCCTGCTCCTGCGAGAGCAGCGGCAGAACGCCCGAGCAGGAGCACAACGTGTTTTGAACACCTCAGTGCAAACGCTGTAACACCATCAGTCACATGTAAGTCGTGCCTCACGCCCCAAGCAGCTCCTAACACAAGTTCTTCTGTTTTGTGATGTTCATCTTCAAACATCTCAAAACGGCCGCGCTGCAAGGATGCAATAATTTAGTTACGCGGCAAACTTTCACGTGAATTGCGTGAGGGGAGGGGTTTCATTCACCCAGAGCCACGTCGACTATGGTTGTATATTCTGGTTCTGATTCTTAAGAGTGGTTGAGAAACCAGCCAAAGCCTCAAGGTTTCTCCTGGAACGAGACCTGCGTTCCCCAGCCTCACCAGCTCAGAAGGAGCCCAGCTTTGTGCCCCTTCCCAGGCCTTGGCAGCTTCTGCCGACACAGATGGCCTTTGCCCCTCCGCGGCAATTTTGCGGAGATCCTTAGCTGAAGAGATGGCCGCGTTCTTGGCAGAGGCCTCCAGTCCCCGCTGCGTGCTTACCAGAGTAGCGGATTTTGAAGCCTTTTCTGTTGTAGGCATGATCAGAGGACCAACGGAGATAGACTTTGTTCCCGCTGCTGGTGACAGTCAGAGGGGCAGAGTAGTTCCCGCTCAGCGACAGGAGCAGCGGACTCTGGCCAGAGGGACCTGTAAGGACAGAGGGAACGAGGAAAGGTCAGGGCTGGCACACAGTCACGCGTGGGCCTCATCTGCCAGGGGGTGGTTCTGCAGAAGGAAGAGGCGTGTTGTGGAACCGCAGCACAGCAGCCTTCCCTGCGAGTCCAGGAACGGCAGCTCCTGCTCAGGGGTTTTTTTGTGAACACGAGTCCCAGTGCAGACACCTGGTTCCTGGGAAACCAACGGCAATTAAAGCCCAGTTAATCGCGGTAAGACCAGGATTTTGCTCCAGGCAGTATGCCTTCAGCTCAAGTCCCGATGGGCAACCACAGGAGCATCAGCAGAGCACTTGTTCTCTGCGCTTGGTTACAAAGCTGCTTCGTTGTGAACACCGACAGATCCCCTCTCAGTTCACGAGGGCTCATGGGCCCATTAAAGCTCATCTGCCTGGGCTTCAGGGATGAGAACTCCCACCTTCTCTACTCATCTTCTCCCAGCAACCTCTGCTACTGTTTCTCCCAGGAACTTGCTAACTCCTTCCCTCTGGAAAAATACTTTAGATCCATCCAAAAATCAAATCATTGATATTTGCTTATCCAGAGAATCAATGAGTCTTAGGAGGAGCTTTCTTTAAGTCCAGCAGAAGGTTACAGGCGGAGTGGTGGAAAGCTCTCCCGAGCGCTCTGGGAACAGAGATTAACAACTAACAAAACTCCGCCACTTCTTTCCTTTCCCCTCAGTTGCTATGCAAGTCAAATGGGTGACTCTCTTACCGTCAAAGATTTCAAACTCATCGTACTGCTTCTCGCTCAGGAAGTACTCGATGGTGAGGGAGATGTTATACCCAGGCTCTACCTTGACCACCCAAGAACAGGTCTGAAAGTGAGGGTAACTTCCCAGGAAGCTCTGGCTGAGGATGACACCGGTGGAGTCTGTCATAACCTCGTTCATCGGACAGTGCACTGCAGGGAACGCGAAGAGACAGCAGAAAAAGCATTTTCCTATTTTGCCGAGGAAGGAAGGAAGGAAACACGAGATACCACGGCCAAGAAGGTCTGTCTTGATCAGCTAGGTCAAGACAGAGCACAACTCCCACCCGCGTACATCCGCTGCACACCTTGACCCTTGGGGCTCACAGAGAATCCCCAGACCCCAGCGTACGCTCCGAACAAAGCATCCTGTGTTTCCACAAATCTGAGCAATGCCCAAATTTAAAGGGCAAAAAGCAACAATACAAACACACACTGTCAACTGCCTTTGCGTCATTTCACATCTCTTTCAAAATGAGTGGCACTGCATCCAGGCAACTATTCCCAAGTTACAAAACACTCCCCAGGAATCCCTGGAAACTTTATTACCCCGGATAGCACAAGGTGTGGAACTACAGCCTTATCCTAGGTCACCCACAGAGTTGTTAACCAGGACATAAGAACTCCAACATCTTTCTCTAATCACTACACCCCATTCAGCTTCTGGAAATATTAAATCCAGCTGAAAACACTACATAAAAAGGTCAGCAAAAACACTCCAGAAGAGGAGGCAAACACACAAAGTGAGCAAAAAAGCATAAAAAGAAAGGGATCTTTATTTATCCATAATTGTCACTAAAGCCCAGTGCAAACGCTGTACCCGTATTAATAGAAAACAGCCAGAACTATCCAGAAAGAACAGTGTATTCTTTCCAAATCCTTAATCCCATCAGTGATTTTTTTGACCTCTATAAATTGGTGGCCAGATGTAATTTAAGCAGTCCCTTTACCCCCAGGCTAACAACCATCAGTAAATAATTGAATGACCTCCCTGTCTCTCCTTCAGTTCATGCTATTTCAGAGAGAATAAAGCTATAGAAAAATATCCCATTATATGGTAAAAATGTTCAGATAGGAGGGAATGAAGGAGATGAAATAATCACGGCTGGAGCGAACAAAAGTACCAGCAGGAATCCAGAGGATAAATAAGGTAACACGGTAGCACGGAAACATCTTTGGGATCCCTCCTGAGCAGCAGCAAGGTGTACAACGCGGCGTGCTTGGGGCTTTCATTTTTCTCCCATGTAATACATTCCTTGGCGCTAATAGAGAAGCTGTTCCTCGCAGGATTGCCTTCCCGGAGGAGCTCGCTTCGCCGCAGCCTGCTCTTCCTTTGGCTGTTCATGTATCACTGGCAAACCGTCAGCGCAGAATTCCTCTCCCCCCGCCAGGGTAAGGACATTTGGGTGACTGTTACAATGACCTCACGCATGCCATCGGACTCGCGCTGTGCCAGACCTCTGCTCAGTCCCTGCTCAGGAAGTACCAGCTTAAAGTGCCTTCCTGAACCGGGGGCTTGGGGTATAATCCAGGGGTGCCCGACGTGCGGCAAACCCCTCCCAGACGGTGCGGAGACCCCACAAAATCCCTGGAGCCAGCAAGGGGCGGAGGGCCGCTCCTTATCCTTTACGAGAGAGTTGTTGCAATAAGTCACCCAGCAAATCTCTCCCCGTTATTTGCTGGTTGTTGCTTGAGCCCAGCCAAGGTGCTCGGCCCCGGGCCAGGCACGTCGGGAGAACAGCCCTTCCCTGCACAGCGGGGTCTCGCTACCCTCCTCACGAGGTCCTCGTGGGTGGGTTTGCACTACTGGGACCCCGGAGATCTGAGAATTAACGCCAAAGATGCAGTGTGTGCGAGGAAACCTCGCCCTGCTGCTACCCTCCGTACCCTGCAGCAGCCTCTGGGCAGGGACGCTTTGGCTGCCAGGCCGGGCAGCCTCGCCTTTACCTTCACACGTGGGTGGAGGTCCTTCAAACTGGAGGTGAGTGCCTAGTTTGCAGGTCAGGATTTCACTTCCGATCAGGGTAAAGCCAGGAAGGCATCTGTACCTCACTACGTCACCTACAGACGGAAACAGAAAACATCTTCACCCAAGAGAAGGATCAATTCGTTAAGGCTGAACCGTGCCCGGGGACGAGGGTACGATGGGGCGCAGAGACCTCTCGACCGTGCCTCTGCCATGGAGCTCTGGCATGACCGTGCAGAAGTAAGAGGCAGATAAAGGCACGCCAGAGTCTCAGCTGGGATAAACTGCTGCCATGCCGCTGAGACTATTATGATTTGTGCAAGCATTTCGGGTGGAGACTTCCCTCAAAGAGAGCAGACAGCAAGAAAAGCTGCTTTAAAAAACATCTCGGCTACTTCACTAGTTGCAGACACACTTAAAATGTGGATGTAACTGAGAGCAACAGCAAAAAATACAAAAAGCACAGTCGATACGGGTGAAAGGTTCTCAAAAAAATAACAACGGCCTCTCAGCTTTCACACAACACTTTGTTTGAAACACCTGAAAACTATTATTGTGGCAAAGATTTCTGAATGCTGCAGAGCAAGCTCAGGGCTTTCACAAAAGCCAGAGCACTTCTTCCGCACTGAGAGGGGAAAAGCCCTGGCACAATCGGATCAATGTGACTGTCAGCTGTTGAGCAAGGTCACGCACATCTCCCCGTGCCACACGCAATTACACACGTGAAGATGTCTCCTGAAAGGCCAGATACGGGGTGACAACACGCCTGTGTGTTCCTGGGGGCCCTACCAGCAGCTGCTGAGGGGGAACGGAGGGCTAAGAGGACCAGAGAGGTACCTATGTTAAATTCTTCGTTCTCAGTGATGATTTCTGCATTGGGAACGATGGTCGGAGGCTGACATCTGAAGAGCTGGTAGGCTGAGGGAGCAAAGGAAGAACAGCGGATGTTAAGCTGGGGGTGGAGGCAGCCACGGCGCTCTCGGTGCTGAGCACAACAGACATCAGAGCAAATCCTCCCTCTCCACAGGCAGAAGGAACTGGGAAAAGCCCAAGCAGCCCCTTTCCCCCATCCCCAGACCCTACAGAGATGGCTCCAGGTACCTGTGCCCCAAAGCAGCTTTCTCCAGTTTCTTACAGCTAATGGGAAGCAGATTTTTGTCAGTCTGTGGAGATGCAGGTGCCTGGACAGCGATAGCCCGTTCGGATGAACATTGAACGATGACCGACGGGTGCAGATGTGGGGTAACGTTACCGGCACATTTTGGGATACCAAGGGGAAAGATCTTGGTGGCCTCAGTGGAATTAGGTCAAACACAGAAGAGGGAGAGTCTCAGACTGCTCCAGCACCAAGTCAATTATGCTAATTATTCAGAGAATTTCATCCTTACCACCTGTCCTTGAACAGAGATCACAAAACTCACTGATTTACTTTTAACTTGAAATTATTCAATAATTTCTTCTGCAAATAATTGCAGGAGTGCTAATGTTTTCAACTGCCAATCCTCTATGTAGTTTGCAGTGCACAACGTAACCCACGCAGGGTTGATGCCAGTGCCGCACAGAAGGCAAAGCAGGGCAGACCTTGCACTCTTTGCACAATTAAGCGTTTTTTTTTCAGGAGTGCCCTGTGGCTAAATAGGAAGAAGAAATCCAGTTGAGGAGCAGAAACAATTCCTTATGGCTCACGCACCTGACCAAATACATTGCAAATAGCAAGTTTTCCCCCCAAAATTAAAGATCAGCTAACACTGAGCAAAACAAATGCACTGCTTACAAGCATGTGGGTGCATAAGGCTTGAGCACTGTGCTGCTTATGAAAATAAACACACAAGAGCTGTGAGCACAGTTAAATTGAAAATATAGTACCGGGAACTAAATGAATATTAATGAAAGACATTTTCTGCTATTTGCTCAGCACTTCTCTGCATCTTTGCTCCCCCTGCACCTGACCCTGGCCAAGCATAACTTCCTCTGAAATTTATATCAGCCCTTTAATTTAAGATACTGGAGCTCAAGCTGCCACTGAATATTAATCCTTACTAACTCCACGATGTCGAACTCTTCACACCACGGCAAGGCTGGCAGCCCTGGCAGCAACCTTAATGAGACTGCTGCTGCTGCTGCAACACACAGGAACAGAAGCAGACGCCCCGTTGTCTTACCCCAATTTTCTTATCCCCTAACCCAGGGTAGGATAATACTTTCCCAAGAAGTGTGCAGGAAAACGTGATGTCTGGAGGTCCGGGGAACGGGCTGGAGGGAACGCAGCCGCTTCTGGTTAACGTGAGGGACGGGCTTACGTATCCCACGTGTGCAAGGGGGAGGAAAAAACAAACACATGCTACTACAGCGAGCTAAACTCAGCTGCGGGGGGGGTCAAAGGAAAGTGCCAGCTCTGTAATTGGGACAGTCAGCCCCTTCTTTGCAATCTACCACAGGAGCAAAGAGACGAGCAAAGGAGCTGGGAAAGCCTGCACGTGGGCTGGGAGAGGAGCGAGAGGCACCAGGGGAGAACCCTTCTGCTACACAGCAAGGAGCCGTCCCGGGAGGGAACACACCTACTCGCAATCTTTTAAACAGATGTTTGACAGTGGGGGAAGAAGGAAAGGAAACAGTAACAAAAATTTAAATTAAATGCTATTTAAAAAGTGCTTGACAGCATCTATTGAAGTGGAAAGATAACCCAGCGTTTAAAGCATTAATCTCTGCTCCTTAATGGGCCATATTTCAATACAGAGGTGTGATTAAGATGGCTTCAGCATATGGGTGATACAGCACCGGTAAAGCTCCTTTCAACAGCACATCCATTTGCTCTCACCAGGACAAAACAGAGCCCCGTCCTTGAAACCACACCGGGACCCCCTTGAGTTACTGTGCCATAAACCCCTCTCCCATCACGCTCACACATCAGTTCGGGCTGGCACCTGAACTAACTCGTTTAATAATAGGTGCAACATCATCATTTTTCGAGGGATGCTATTGAATCTTTAAGCTCTGCGAATCATTCTTTTGTTTCCCTTCCTCCACCCTAAGGAAACGTTTCTTTGCAGGCATTTAAAAGGGCAATGGTTCTCTGACACGGTGCCGACCGTCGCCGTACAGGAAAAGACAATTTAAAGCTGAAGAAGGACGTCTCCTACGTCCTAGATCTGCCAGCATGCAGACGCAGAAATGAAAATATACATTGCTGTAGATCCCGAGGAAATTGCGTTTCCTGCAGTTACACCCCAAAGGGTGAAACCAAAGATTTAAGCAACTGCACTGCCTGAGCCGGGTGTGAAAATTCCCCCCCCGGCTCCTGCACCCTTCTTGGTGTGCAAGGCACCAACACACAGAAGAGAGCCTGGGAGAGAGAAGAATCTCACCTCAACCACTTAAAATCTCTGGGGTTAGGCTTGATACTAAAGCCCCATGTATAAAGGGAGCAATAAGCCAATAAACGGCACTTTTTAATAAAAGGCCAAGCACTTGCTAGGGCGTCCGGCTGGTTAACAGGTTAGAAACGGCCGCTGGCTGCGCCGATTCCTACCAGCACCAACTCCAGACCTCTCACGCCTGCCAGTGGCTTTAATGCTCCACGTAAGCCATAAGCTAAAGAAACATCAGCATAAAGCGTTACTGAGATTAGAGAAGAGCAACATACGCTGATGGGCTCTAACCATAGCGGTGATAGTATCTAATTCATATTACAAAAGGAAGTGTTTGCTGAACTGCAGCAGTGTTTACATACTGCTCATTTCTGAGCCAAACTGCCTAAACCATAATTTTTTGCATAACTGTTATATACGCACCATTGTCTAGCAATATAAATCTTGCAGTGTTTTGCAGCAGTAAACCAATTCCCTCCAAAGCCTAGCAAACATTCTTTAAATTCAGCCTATCCATATAACGCTTGTCTTTTGGAACTGAACATAAGCTAAGACATTCTGCGCAGATTCATCGTGTAATTCATATAAGACTCTGTTGACGTCGTTGCCAGCGAATTACCAAAGCAAGAGGAGGTCTCCGTTTGCACTTTCCAAAAATCCCAGTACTGCCGTAGGAACTTGTTAGCTAATCCAATTTAAAGTTGGGCTCCTGGTTAGTGGTGGAAAGCAAACGCTCTCATTTCAACGTAACACCCAACATCTCTCTAGCGTGAGCTGCACTCACACCGAGGAATCCCCAGGTAATTCAGGGATTTACAGGAATCCTTTTCCTCCCCAGAGAAATGAAGTCACCTCTCAGCTGGAACACAGATGCCATTTAAAACAGGACACCGAGATGACCCAACTGGTTTAGCATAGCATTGGAAAGGCAATTCTGCATCCAGCCAACCCTGCGGGGAAGGAGAGCTTTAGGCAGACAAAGCGGAGCCATCCATAACGGGATCCGCCACGGAGAGGACGGTATTTACAGGCGTCGCCTTGAGAGAGGCGCAGGGCTGGCACGGCTGTTTGCAGGCGCTTGATCTGTGCTTGAATTACCACGATACGGATGGATTTCCACATCTGCACAGACTGACCACTTGCCAGCGCTCCATTGCATAAGAGACCTTCCATCTCAAACCTGCGAGAACTGGGCCCTTTGGGCAAGACTTCAGGTAAAAGTGTGGTTTTTCGCATCTTGCCCAGAACTAGTCCTCCCCACAACGAGCCACAACCGAGCCGTGCCCCTCCACGCCCCGCAGGCAGGTATAAAGCGTGTGGTGCTCAGTAAGCAATACAGACCGTAGAAATAAATGGCAAAAATCCCTCCGTTGGCTGCATCGCTGTGGAATTTCATCAGGACCTGATTGGAAGAGCTTTGGGCTGATTTCTTCGCAGAGTTGCCAGTGAACACACCAAGCTGTGGGGCTGTTTGCTGTGGACCATCCCTAAAAATTGTATGTCAGACACACAAGAAAAGAGCATTATTACACGTCTTTAATCCTAGACAACAGCTAACCTCCTACACTGCATGCACAGGAACTCCTCCATGCTCTTCCTTCCTTGTCCTCCCTTTTCTACATCTTTATTACAGTCTCAGCAGCTCCCAGGGCAGCTGACCTGGACCCCCAGCCCCCCTCCCTGCTCCATCATAGCCAGGATAATCTCCTCTGGCAGCGCAGTGATCACCCAGCAGACAATTACAAACACGATCTTCATTTTTAACCTTAGAACTTGAAGAATTAGGGTCAGTTTTCCAAAGGAGTTTCACTCCCTGTTTCCATAGCAGACACTGAGATCTATTTTGAAAATCAGATACTGATTGAGCACTACAAGCTCAAGAATTTGGGCAGAAGCTCTTCAGCCAGTTCAGCTACGTGTGCTCCCTTGGCTGACTCAAGTTGGTAATACGCCATTTCTCTTCCCTTCTCCAAACAGGAAAGGAAGATCCCAGCCTGAAAGACTCCTGGGGTGAAGTCCTCAGCACACGAGAAATCAGTGCTGCTTCATTAACCACAGCAGAATTGCGCCCATTTTGCATCAGAGGTCGCAGTTCCCAGTTGCTGCTATTTAAAAGGCGGCTGGGGGTCACGGCCGGTTCCAACGCCGTCCCAGCATTGCCGCCGCAGGCTGGGAGACTGGCTTGGACTGCAGGGCTGCGTGTCTCTGATTGCAAAAGAAAAACCGAGAGGGCGCTGGTAAATGTAAATGATTTACCAATGGCTTTTTCTTCATTCAGCCTCTATCCATAGACAGGTAGCCAGAGATAAAGCGCAAAAGGAAAAAAATGAGCCCTAGAAAACGTCTGTCAGAGAAATCAGAAGCGAAAGGAAATTCCTATTATGCGAGTCCAAACAAGATTCATTTCAACTAAATTCAGCTTGAGATAAAGACCCCGTTTACCATTCATAAAGTCTCCTCTGTAAAGCCCCTTAGGCTTCCCAAGAGATGTTTCCTTATTCCATTCCGCAGAGCGTCTCGGAGATGAAGGGCCAGGCTGACGGAAGCGTCCAGCAGGACGAGCGGGGCTCTGACCCCCCCCCGCCGCGGCTGGGACGCCGGTCTGCATCCCCCGGCAGCTCGGCCCCTGCTCGTGCAATTGTGGCAAAGCGGTGGGACAGCGACTGCTAATCCCAGGCACTGCGGGCGTCTGATGGGCTTCATTTTAGCAGCTAACGATCACAGAAGTTACTGGCAAGACAGACCTACAAGGTCTGACAGGCGCTGCTATGCGGCCAAGAGTGGGACTGCTCCCTGTGAGCTGTGCAACACCGAGGGCAAAAGCACCGTGAAAGCTAAGGATTCCTGTACAGACTCCCCTCCAGACCCACAGCGTGACATTTGCATCACTTGGCACGAGCGGCCAGTCATCCAGCGGTCATTCCTGTCACCGACCTTGCACTCCCTGCCTGCATTTTTCAGGAACGTAACGTTAACAGGTTTGGAGTCAGTCGCCTAGTCCATTCTGCTAGCCCCTTGCGGCACATGGTCCTTTATCTAAAGGCTGTGTATCAAGCACCTGGAGTTAAAAAAATTCCAAACCCTCATCCCAGCGTCCCCAGAGGATGCTCCTACTCTCAAACACAGCACTACCCACGCACCGTGGCAACGGGTGCTCTATTTATCAGCAAGAGCATCTTTCTGAAACGGAGCCTCAGCAGCAGCTCCAGTCAGTCCTCACACCTTGGCTGTACCCACCAAACAGTGATGAAATCGTTGTAGGGCTCTGTTTGCAGCAGAGTGAAGTTGAGATGGATTCCATATCCCACCGGCACTGTAAGAAGCCAAGTGCAGTCCTGGGAATTGGGGTACTGGTTGGGGAAGCCAGGAGAGTAAACTGTACCATTTTGGGTGGTGACGTTTCCCCCACAAGGCACTGCAGGTAATCAGACAGAAACACAAACTAATGAAGAAATATCCCCCCAAACAATAACTCTTAGAGATCCTCTATTTCCCTTTTTTCTTTTTTGATAAAAAGATAGCAATTCTGGATACAGGAGGACCCAGCCCCAATATCTTGGCCTAGCATGCCTCGAATAATTCATATCTGTCACAACTACATCTAACATTTTCAATTTAATTCCATTACAATAAATTTATTAAGTGCTTCAGAGCTGAAAGGAGACTGCCAGGGCGTTGTGTACAGATGTGATAGCCAGGTGCACAAATAAACTTTATCTTATGCCCCGGTAAGAGTCTTTGGGCTCCACCAGCTGTCTGCACCCATGCGTGGAAAAAACAGCTCCTGACAAGATCACACCAGTGGGCAAATCTACCCACTGGTTCATACAGCACAGCCTGGACCAGAACCACCGAGCAGCTGGCTTTTCACCGAGTACATCTGAGCAGGGGGGAAACGATGATTTGTATGACAGCAGCATCCAATTCATTAATCAAGATGACAGTTCTATTGCACTAGGTATTTTCCAGGTCCAAATGAACTTGCAAACTAAAGAGAGGCAATTAGAAACAGCCTGGGCGGTGAAAAAGGGGCACAGAAAGATGACAACCTGCTGAAGGCAGTGCAGGACGGCCACAGCAGGTCCCTAGGTCTGAAAGTCCCGTGTACGGGCATCGGCTTCTGGTCCTCCCTGGCATGGAAGTTCAATTGAAACGATGGTAACATCTGCAGCGTGTTACTGGCACGGAGTAAGCGCAGCCAGTGTCCTCTGCCTGAGCCAGCTCTGTTCTAGAAGGCACGCAGCTGTATTAACCCAATCCTTGGCTAAGGCCAACCCATCCTCCCTCCCAACACAACTTATTAATTCAGGCTCAGTGCTCAACACTCACTCTTTTTCATACAGGAGTAGCTCCACGGACTTCTACCACCCTGGCCCTGGCTTGACGTGCCAGATGTGAGGTTAGAGCCAGGTTCCACACGCTCCCTGCCTGGTTCTGCTTTCTCACGTGGTCTGGCACGCTGAGAAAAGCGTGTGTATTTATATAACTCCGTATGCTTGTTTTCTGAAACAAACACCTGAGATACCTTGGGGGCCAAGTTCCTTTCTGCCCTGCAAAGCAGCAGGCAGCCTGCTGATCACCAGAAAAACTCCCTGGAGTGGTGCTGGAAACCTCGCCCTCTGTGCATTTATTTCAGAATTACAGCTTCTCTTTTAATTAAAAGGGCTTTCAGCTGTGACCTGTGTCGGAAAGGTGAGGTGGTTAGCCTAAGGCACCACGTCCTCGCTGCTTGCCGCTATGCAGAAATGGACCATTTAAGGAGACAGCTAGAAAAGGAAAGTGCTGTGTCGACTTTAACAGCACCAGCAGCCCACCAGATGTGCACACAGAGGAAAGCAGCAAACGGTCCAAAACGTACCTAAACCCCTCACCCCTCTGTGCTATCGGAAGTGCTGCAGAACAAGCAAGCTACTTAAAAAACACAATAAAGAAGGAAGAATTGTATGGTTGTGGCTGGCAGAGCTGGTGCCCAAGGTAGAACAGGGCGTAATCCTGCTACCACCAGCACCCAGCTGAGCACGGGACGGTTTCTCAGCTAATGCACATCTCTGTTGCACTGCTGGGGTCACTGAAAGACCAGCTGAGGATTTGGTTCTTTATGCTTTGTGTTCTCTGGGGTTCAAGGACTTAGGACTTTAAAGAGGACAAATATCACCTCTCTCTCTCTCTTTCCCCAGTGCGCAGTTCTTGCGGACCAAGCGCTGTAAAGAGGCTGGGATAAAGGTCAGTGCTCCTGGGAAGGGCTGTGGGAAATCTTCAATAAGCAGTCTTGAACTTCTAAAGGGTTCATAGGAAAGCCTTCTAAAGTAAACCACACAAACCTCAGCCCATTTGCCCAAAGGATGAAAGGCTGAAACAGCCTCGTTGGGGTTTGAAAAGAGAATTTGGATATTTGCGCTTCGGTGCCTAGAAGGTAGATCCACTCCTTCAGCCTGCAGGGTCCTGCTAGCACGTGTGGTCTTCAGAAAGGAGACCACGTTCAAGGTTACTGAAGAACTCCCATCTGGATCATTTTGGAAGTGCCACACTAAGGAGACTAGACAGGGACACGATCTTCCCACACTAAGAGCTGCAAGGGTCTTTTACGAGGGACCACTTTTATTTACCAATGGTAAGTCAATGGAAACTGAACGGACATTGCTGACAAAATAAAGCAGACTATTATTATTACAACGACCCTGGACCACTTCATGCTGAAAGCACAGCTCCCACTGGCACCGGCCGAGTGACGGCTAGAGACAGTCCTGCCCCACAGCACGGGAGTCAAACACACCGCCTCAAAAGATGCACCTTGGTTTTGAACTGTTCAAAATGTTCGCTTTGACTAGGCTGAAATATGCTGAACATGAACTCAGGGGGAACATGCTTCCACACCTCAGGGCTGAGGCTTTATTCCAAGCGCACATTCCCAGCCTGTCTCCAGCGATGCTTTTGTTTCCAGAGAAACTTTTAGCCCAATTGCAAAACAACGATGCAAAAGGAGGCCAAGAACAGAGAGCTGAAGCCTTTTCTCTCCCCAGAAATGCCCGTCCGGGTGCTCTCCGGGTGACCCCCAGCCATACCTTCACACCTGGGCAACGGGTGGTCCCAGTTCCTGTTGGTGCCGTGCTGACAGGTCAGGACGGGGTGGCCGATCAGCTGGTAGCCAGGCAGGCACTCAAAAGAGATGGACTGGCCAACGTTGTAACCGGCTCCTCTCACAACACCATTAGCAAAAGGTTCAGGGTCAGGGGATTCCTGCAGCTCGTAGGCTGAAAAAAAAAATAAAAAAAAATAAGGAGGAATGTTTCATACTTCGTATTTTCTCACAAAAGTAGGAACAGTACACCCACTGTGCTGCTTGGCTACTTTCTCCTCATTCAATGATTTAATTGAAGGAGATAAACTTTAATGAGCCATACACACATCTGCATGAAGGTTGAGGAAAAATCCTGCTGCTGCTTTGCGGAAGCCTCAGACGGGACACGGGGGTCTGCCCTGGTCCGCCGCAGTGGCAGCGCCTGTATTCACAGAGTCACCCCGCACTTCACTTCTAATTGGGAAATCTGCCTTGTCTTTCAACAAAACGTGGACAACCCTGATGACGAATGCAAGTCAGTTGGTTAACATGTTCCACCTGGCATTATAAATTATTGGTCAGCCTTGCTAGAGCTAATTTGCATAGCAATTTCCATGAGATTACCCAGAGTGCCTCACAGAGCACATTCCTTCCTAAATTGTGCAGCAGCGCATGAATTATATGGCGCATGAACAGGACAGCCAAGACAAAATTAATGTTTTCAATTAAGTATGAGTAGCGGTTTTTATTGCTATTTCTGGGGAGTCAGCCCTTTGTCAGTCCTTGGCTGCATCACGTGGCTGAAGACACACGCTCCATCCTTCCCGCTCCTCAGATCTCTCTCCCGGGCAGTAGCCGGACCGCTTGGCTCCCAACTGCCGCGTAGCAAAGCCCATCCTAATTTTATTCAGTATCTGCCCTGGGCAGATCCTTTGCCCCTTCATATTCCCGTATGCCAAGGACAGGCGGACAGAGAAGACTAAAGGGTTTCGCAAAGACACTCATCGACGTAGAGCTGGGGGTCAAGCAGGGCTAGAAGTTCACATTCCCTTTCGACAGGGTGAAGGCTCACACAGGCAGCCCCCATCCCGCACCTTCACAGAGCGGCAAGTCCTGCGAGAGAAGGAGACTTCCAGGGCCTCGCTCTGCTGGCTGCGGAGACCGAGCGGCTGCTGCTCAGAGGACATCACGTCCAAAACCGGGGAGCTGCCTGAGGACTCAAGCTGGGCAAGAAGGTAGGCATCTCCACTCCCCCACCATCTCCAAAAACCGTACTGAGTGCATCTTTTGATTGCAGTGACTTATTTCTCTACTTTCCCTCCAGGTAGCCATGCCAGCCCCACTATTACATCGCTTGGCTATTTCCTTATTTACCCAGTTCCCTCCAGCCCGCTCAGCGCAAGGCTAGGCTGCAGCTAAGGATGCGTTTGGACTTCAGCTGAGACTGAAAAGCAGCTGCAACATTCTAGAGCAAACTCAGGGCTGCTGAGGACTCTTCTCTTTGCACAGGACAGTCAACAGAGCCAAGATCTAAGTGAATCTGCCTGGAATTAATTCAAAGGCATTTCACTGTCACAAAGCACTCTAGGAACATTTGTTATTTGCCGTAGGCATAGGTCCGGGTGAACAGATCCCAGTTATTAGGATGAAGCACGGCCTTCACGTAACACCTTTCCACTCATTAGGATTAAGTCCTCATGGAATTAATTCAACAACAGCAACAACCGTGACGCCTACCCTCGCTCTGCTGCCCTCACCATTAGCACCCAGGGCCAGGACTGTCCCGCTGCTGCTCGTTCGGTGGCCTCCCTTACCTTGGTACTCCAGCTTGAAGCCCGGCTTGTTCTGCGAGTGGTCGCTGTGGAAGTACACAGTGGTTTCATGAGATGTCGACAGGAGGTAGCCCGGGATTTCGGTGCCGCTTAACCGCCCGATGACGTTACTGGTGTCGTACGGCCCGTTGCGGATTTCCACAAAGTCGTGGTTCGGCTCAGTGGAGAAGTTTAGGAACTGGATGTGAGCACCTGGAGAGGAGGAATGAACAGTCTGCCTCTAAAGCTATACTGGAGCCGTAGCACATCAGCACCGCTCTCCCAGGGATGCCCAATATAACCCGGTCAATCAGCAGGAGTACATTTACCACGCTGGAGGCAGAGGGGGCCTGTAGGTGTATCTGCTGGTTTCAGAGAAGCTCAGGCTATAGCCTGTAGTTTCCTGCTGCTGGAGTCCCGCGCGTGCCTCTCCCTCGGCCTGACACCAGAGAAATTCGGAAGGCAAGCACAGAGCTAGGCGGAACCCCCCTGGCCAGGCTGCGGCCGGCTCAGACAGCAGGACAGACAGACCCACCCGGGTGCTTGGTTTCCCCAGCAGCACACAGCAGCTGCACCAGGAGGAGAAGAGTCAATTCAGGAAACCCGGAGCGTCAGCACTTCTTCCAGGCGTGCAATACTTCCAGCTCCTGGCAGCCAGGCACCCTGATGGGGCTGGGCTGGAGAGGAGCTGAGCTGGAGGTGTGCAAGTCCCTCTCTTACTAAGGGCTGGGGAGATCCCGATTTGGAACGTGCCGATGCCTACAGGAACTCTAGCTGAGGCAGGATATAACCTGGCACGAGCTTTGGCCACTCGGTGCATTTATAAAGGGTGATGCAACGGGTGATGTTTTAAGGCTATTACAAACGTGAGTAGTTAAGATGGGGAAGCACGCAGCCACGCTAAGGGAGGATGTTACAGCTGATTCAGAGGCACGCCCACAAACCCCATCAACCTGTTACACTCCACAATGACCTGTAATCACCTTTTGAAAAACTATTTATCATTTCATAGCACCATATAAATGCACGTTTAATGGAAAGTGTGATCAGGAGGTCAAACAACAGAGTTTCTGTAACTCGTCTTGGCAAGCAGTGCATCCAGCACCGACCAAACGGGAATGATGTCTTCCCATCATCTCATCAAAGCAAAACCAGCTGTCTCACCAAACCCCACTGGCAGCAATATCCTCCACGTGCAGTCCAGGTTGCTTGGATAATTTCCTGGAAACCCTGGGCTCAGGAGCACTCCTTCCATCTCTTCTGCTGTTCCTCCACACTGGGCTGTAAAATCAACAGTGTTAACGGTCAGGATCACTTACGGGTCCCTCTGGACGATGGTCACGGCCAGTCGGCTGCGTGGGAAATAAGTTAAAAACTAAGATGAGAGAAAGGAAAGCCTGCGATGGAACTAGCACAAAGTTTGCCAGGCACTGCGTGGCCACGTTACTAACGCACGTGCCTTTCTCCTGCCCTCTGGAGATAAAAACCTGGGCCCAGAGCCCCAGTTTTGGCCATCACAGTGGGAGAGAGACCTGAGCTGCAAGAGGAGAGACGGACGCTCTGTGCTGTCCACAGACACCAACGGTGCACATCATGCACACGGCACTCGTTTGAATTTTTAACCACCTAAAAAAATTACTGTGAAGAAACAGACTGATCCTGTTTTGACTCCAGTTACCAGCACCTCTTTTTGCGGTTAACTGATCTTCCTGGACTGCCATACTTGTCAATCTCTGGGCAATTACCGACAAATATAGAACAGAGTGTTTGCACACTGACTGAAGTAAATTCCCTACCAAGAAGTGATCCACAGATGACAGCACAAAATATGTTTACAAAAGGCATCACATGAAATTTAAACACAGATAGCATCTTCTCATGCTTATCTGGATGACCTCTACCTTGTTATGGTAATACCATCCAGCCGAATACACCCAGGTGTACTCCTAACACGTTCTGACAGCAAAGGTACCGGTTCCCTTCGTCCAGTATCTCATTACGTGAGTACTTGCTACTAACAAGGCTTCTCCCAGGAGATTTCTCTTTCTTTTTCCTCTTAATGGCTCTTTAATAGAACTACTTCTAAATTATTTAGAAGTCAAGCATCTGGATGAAGTAGACCAAAAGAAAATCAGCAGGCTTCGCCAGGGAAGCAAGCTGTTCTCCAAGCAGAGGAACAACCAAAGCCTGGGTCCCGTGCGGCCAGCGGGGCTCTGGACAGGGTTTGGACACATCGGAGCGGGATGAGCACAGGACTGTCAGCACGGGGTGCTGTGGCATCCCCATACAAGATGATGGTCACTCCCAGTGATCTGCACTTGGCTGCAGACACACGTTTACGCCTCTCTCAAAGGTTGGATGACCTTTTTTCAGTCAAGCGTGATGCAAGCTGAGGGATACGAGCAGACAGGTGGACGGGCGCTTGTACCACTGCACTTGGTCGTGACTGTCCAAAACCCGACGGTCTGAATTAAATCGCGCTGGTGTTTACACTGTGACGGTGCCTAGCAGCCCAACCAGGCAAAATCCTACTGAACCGCGTGACTGATGCTGATTAAAAAGAGAAAACCTGAAACTCGCAGTTGCTGAGCTAGTCACCAGCTAGATGGTAATACTGGGATCCTCCTCCAGGCTGGGATCCCCCAACTCTAATGCTGAGCTGAAGGGCTTCTGATTTCTTTCAGAGCAACTCCCATGGGTACGAGTCCTTTAGCTCAGTCATTCTGCTATAAATGTCTCTTTATTTATTCCTGGCCTGCAGATCATCGGATAAAAGAACTGTTAGCTCTTATAATTACTTTAAAGCAAAATGATGTAAGCTAGAACAGCAGGAGCCTGAAATAACTGTTAACTAAAGCTATTAAATGCATAAATGCCTCTCTCGAAGCTGTAAAATGTGCAATATGAATATTAAACATCCAGATTTGCTAAAAGCAAAATACTGAAAATAATCCAAAAACTCCAGCAAGTCCCCTTCACCTCCGTGCCTCTCCTCCTGGGGCTCACTTCTTTCACGGTGGAAATCACCTGCCGAGGGCTCCTCTCCGGAGGGCTGAAGGGCTGGGCAGTCTCAGCCCCGCTCCTCGCAGGGTGCCGGGGCCAAGAGCTGCCTTGACAAGCGACCCGGTCGCACAGGACCTGCCGGACACCGCAGCGGGGACAGCAAGGCACCAAGCGGTGCGGTTCGGAGGTACCGGCAGGTAAACGGGCTCCGGTAAAAGATGCGGTTTTAGTGATATCAGGATGCACTTCGTAAAAATAAAGCACAGTCTTAAGATCTTTGCTTAAGATGGATAAAACACCCTCAAGCCATAAAAACAACCTACTTTCAGTACAAAGAAGTTTTAGGTCTTCCCTTTTGAATGAATCTTTGTTGAGGAAATCTTTTTTGTATTTTAACTTTTATACTATAGCCACATTTTAAACACTCAAAACAAAGAGTTCTGGGCAGCCCATAGGGACTTTTTCATTGAAATTTCCCCTGTAACAAATGAAGATTTTTCCACACTCCACTTCCAGAACAAACCTGCGTTTCTCTAACTCAGACCTTTTCTTTTCTTTCTTTTTTTTTTTTTTTTTTTTTTTTTTTTTTTTAAGAAAAGCGCTATAACTGACTTCTAGGTACGAAAGAACAAGAGTCCTACCGATGCAAAGCGGCGGTGGGTAATTCCAGCGGCGGACAGTGCCTGGCATGCAGGAAATGTGAGAGTGGCCCTGGAGCAGAGGAAAACAAGACACAGGGTTTGGAGGGTCTCCCTGTACCCCAGGGGTTTGTTGTCGCCCTTTTTGTTGGAAAACGTCCGGTACCTGAAGCGCGTAGCCTGGTTCACACTGGAAAGACACGACATCGTTCACTAAATAGCGCTCGCCGATCTTCAGGCCGTTCCCAGGGACGGGGGGCTCCGGGCAGCTGGACAGACCGACGGCTGCGAAGGCAAGAGCGAGATGAGTGCCGCAGGGAGCGGGATGGGGTCTGTGCTGAAGGAACGGAAACACACACCGTCGTTGTATCCCATTCCCCTCTTTATCAACCACCTCCACCACGGACACTGGGTGGGAAAGTCCCGTGGCCTCTGGATTCTCAACAGACACTCCAGATCACGTGGCGTTCCCCTGGGGTACACGGTATGTCCAGGATCCAGAGGTATTCACGCCTAGTGCCTTCGCTTTACCTGGAACACACTTTTTTTCACGTACAAAGGTATCACAAAAATCACTTTGGGATTTGTGGCCAAAAACGTTTTTGACTGAACCCTAACGACTCAATGGAAGAGCTGCATCTGCGACAGCAGGTCCATTGCGAAGCAAAGACCGACTCACTCTGAACGAAACGCAAACCAACACACCCGCCACGAACCCTCCCCACCCGCGGTCCGTGTGTGCGTCACGCCGTAAGCACCTGTACCAACCAGGCAGCACCCGGCAGAGGATCGGAGAGGACGCGAAGGAGAGCCACCACGACCAAGGGCATACAGTATGTGTTGTGTGAAATTTGTCCCTCCCTTTCTGGGCAGAAGCAGCACGGTTTCATTCTCCAACCCTGTTCTTCCCGTTTTCAATTACAGATTGAATTTACCATGACATATAAGCAGCAGTAAGCGCGGCTGGTCCTCGACGGTGCTTGCAGAACAGCCTACGAAAATTTCATTCAATCCCATTTCCATCTGAGCTACATTTACAACTGGGAATATCCTGCTGCAAACCCAATTAACAATCCCCGAAGTCGCGTGGCAGGTGATGTGCTCTCCTTTACACGCGTGCCACCCCCTCTTCCTTCTCCAAACGGAGATAAAATGAAGAGCGGCGTCTGCAGTCACCTCGCACCCACCGCGGCTCAGCTGCCTGCCAGCAACCTCCCTCGGCCCCCTGCCACTAAAAGATAACCTTCTGCGCCGCTGCAAGGGCTGATGCTCTGCTTAAACTCCACAGACTGCAGGCTGAGCCGAAAGCAGATGGGGGGGAAAAAAAAAAAACCAACCAACAGAAACCAAGAGAGGAGATGCTGACTCTCCTCCTGAAACGCGAGTCACGCTTCCCAGCAAGAAAACACGTAGTTCCTCCCCACACATGGCTGTACTGCTTGACCTTCAGAGAGAAAATAGCTTTAAATAACTTCCCATTCAGATCAGCGGGCACTGAGTTTCACTCAGTCCCAGATTGTCCTTGCTCCGCTTTGGCTTTCCAGCATGTAGAGCTAAGAGCTTTGCTTGAGGAATCCAGCGAGGGAGAAAAGGGAGGAAAAAACCCTTGGTGTTTTAGCTCATCTCAAAACTTCCTTGCAGTACCTCTAACAGAACAAAGACAAAACCTGGGGCTCAGAGATGTGAAATTCTGATGGTACAAGCATGGCAAAAAACCCCCAAGATTTCTGGCTGCCCTGAAAATCAACATCTATTAATTTTCTCAGCAAAGAAACCAAACAAGCCTGATAATCCCAAGCCTCATGAAAAACCTGAACGTGATTGTTGCAATGGGGTAATAAGATTCTCAAAGAACTTATTGATTGCAACAGAAATGGAAAAGAAACAGAGTCACAGCAAGAGAATTTCTATAACAACATTCATTTCTCCAGCTCCCAGAGAGCAATCTGGGGCACACTCTCTCTCCCCAATCTTCTTGGTTGCCGTAATCTTGCTGGATCCATTAATACACTTGGTTTCAATCCGCAAGCCCAGTAAAACCTGGGAAGCTTAGTACTAGCTGGCCCTCTAAAAGCGCACCGTCTCTGCACTCAAACAGCTACGCCACTTCTGTGGACGTTTTACAACCTGAAATGCACTTTCAAATCTATTTGCTGCTTTGGAAAAAAATAAACAGAACATTGGTTGGCTTCAGAGACAAACACAAGATTTGTGATCAGAACCAACCGTCAGACACGGCGTCCAGCGAGAAACACTGATGTCTGCATCGCCCCAAGGAAGACTGCGCGAACGGAGACAGCAGTCCCAGCACATCTCCCGTCAGCTCGCCATCGCTCCTACCCACGCAGGAGCCGAGCCCGACCCTCGACACGCGTGAACAGCTCACCCGAAGGCCCAGCCGGGTGCCTGGCTCTGCCGCACCCGTACCGTTAGTACGCTGCGAGCGCACGAGCCCGCGTGCCCTCCTGGCTGCTAGCTAAGCGTTCAGCTTCGATGTGCTGACCAGAGCTGAGAGCCGCCATTCTGCACCTGCTTGCTTGTACGCTGTCTGCGCTGCTGCCGGACTATACGTGAGCGATTCAAGCCCTCGGCACAGTACCACCGGCGAGGTAACAGCTGCCGTCACCGTGACCCGCTGCAGCTTGGCTGTGGCACGCCTTTCCCCAACACGCATCCGCTCCAACAGCGGGAATCAGAACACAGATGTGCGGGAGAAGGAATTTTTGGCATCCCTACCCAAACCTGACAGCCCTTTCCCAAGGGACTCTCTTCCCTGCCACGTCTTCCAGTTTTAGTCAGGTTTGTTCTCTTACCACTGAGGGTTTCTTTTTTTAAACCCTGTCTCTGTGTATCATCATACATAATGATGTTCTCAGGTCTGGATATCCCAGAACTGAATGCAGCTTTGCATTAGACCTGCCTGAAGCAAAGCGCTGCCGTTCTGTTCCAATGTTCATCCTGCCACGAAAGGCTGCCCAGAGCGTTCGTGCAGTCTCCATCCTTGGAGTGTTTCAAGCACAGACTGCATACAGATGTGTGAAGTGAGTAATCTGGTTTTACCTCATGCGTGACCCTGCTTTCAGAGGAGGTTCGATGAGATGACCCCTGAGGTCCCTTCCAGCCAGAAGGACCCTGGGAAGCTGTGTCCGGCCCTGCGTGCTGTTTCCAGCAATGACCAGTACTGAACGCAAAGAACAGGCCGTCCCTCCCAGCCTCCGGCAAACATCGTTTTAGGCACTTCCCGAGCGAAGATTACAGCGCTGTGTCAAACAGGCCGAGTCTCCTTAAATTTTTAATACTTTGGCCTCTGCAACTCCTCCTGTGCTACAACCCAGAACCCAAACACGTGCTACAGAGTGCATCAGCAGCGAGATGAGGGTCAGCCCGTGACCCCACTCCTCCTCCGCAGCTGGAGAGCAGAGAACCACACATGCACGGGCCTTAAAGCTCACTGCCCCTTCCCCACTAAGGAGCTTCCACTTCTACAAGGCAACGGCTCCGTAACCATTTCCCCATCGCTCAGAGAACCGCGAGATCAAGGCTGAATTGCTCTTACTTTTGTATTCCAGGTGAAAGCCAGCAGCAGAGACGCTGATATCCGAATAGAAATGCAGATAGAGCTGGTTTGAAGTGCTGTTCAGCAACGCAGGCACCGTAGTTCCTGGGAAAACAAGAGGTGCACAAAGATACTGAAGAGGATTCTTTTTTTCTCCTCCGTGTCCTCGGAGACTAACTGCAAAAGAGGCTGAGAACAGAAAGTCCTTTAACTTAACAAGCTCTGTTGGTTTTGATCAGGTTCTAATGAGGCCAATTGAGAAATACCCAAGGCCTCTCCGCAATGGCCTTTTCAAAGTCTTCTGATGAATTTCATCATGTGAAGTTTTACCACTTACAGACCAGACAGACTAAAAGCATCGAGAAGGGAACTGGTGACGAGAAACAGTGTGGGTGGAGCGCAGGTCCCCCGCAAGGTCTGGGTTCTTTCTCCTGCCTCGTTCCCTGGAAGCTGTTTGCAGCAGCAGCTCAAAGCAGGTCTATCCCAAACGCAGCTCTGGGAGTCCCAGAGTCCGCTGGTCTTTATGCAGGACACTTCTTACCAACCTCAAAGCGCTTTGAACACATCTGTTCGTTAAATAAGCAAGAATTGGGGCTACTGGTTTGCAAGTGGCTCTGCTGTTTGAAAGCTTTACGATGCTCTTGGGCTGCTTGCTACTCCTTGCTCTCCTAAAAGCCACGGTCCCCACTGCTGAGCAGAAGAAAGGTGGTTTTGTAGCCCTTCATCCATTTTGGTGCAAATCAGGCTGGTTAGGTTAACCTGCCAAGCACAACAACCCAGCAGTGCTGTGGGAACTCCTACTTCCAAGTTGTGGAAGCGCTCATGGGTTCTTCCAAAAAACCCAAACCTAACCCACTGGTTTTGCGTTTAAGGCTCTCTATCAATACCTTCTGCAGGAAGACAGTAGTCAAATACCCAATTCAACCAAGCATATGATTCCCTTTAACAACATACTTAAATCTATTCTTAGTTTTTGAAGCATTTAAGCATATGCTTAATTTTTATGTACGTGCTCAAGTCCAGCTGATGTGAATAGGAATTAAGCATGCACTGACGGGCTTTGCTGAACGTGATGCTGAACACGTACCAGAGAAACTTCCCAGCATGGTGGCTGTGTTATCTCCTCCATCGAACACTTCTAGGGAATCCCAGTTCTGCTCAGTAACAAAACTGATCACCTGTATCTGAAGAGAAAAAAGAAAAAAGTAATAGTACAAAGCCTGCAATCATGCTAATAAATCAAAATAATATCAATGAACAGGTCACTAATAAAGTTAGCAACACGCTCTAAGTCAGCACTGCTATTTATCTGTGCTAACGCACTGGCAAAGTTGGAGACCTGTTGCCTTTGACCACCACCACCGCCTGGGTTGTACAGCGATCTTCCAGAAAACTCCACGCTCCGAACCTCCGTATCAGGGGCGCTGCTTCTGCTGCTGCAAAGGGACAGCCCCTGTAATTTCACAGCAGCTGAGAACCTGAACCTTTTTTTTTCTGTATTGAGAAATCTCCAAAGACTTTTACAACACTTTCATATGAAAGCAACCACCAGCAACCCAAGAGCTAAATTAAAAACAAAGAAACCTGCGTTAAACCACAGGATTTTTTTAATCCGTTGAAGCTTCTGCAACTGCCTTGTTTCTCAGCTTTCAGTCAAACCACTCAGGCTGCATTTTCAAACGTCCCACCTTTCTCGGCCATGCCCCGTGAGGCTTGGAGGCTTAAGGAACTCTCTAGACTCCACCAGTTAGAACTTCGATGCAATCCTCACACGAGTAACACCACGAGATTTGACAAATCTGCACTGACGCTGACAAGCAGCTCTTGTACTCCAGCAAAGATATACATGTAATTGCAGAGATTTGTTTTCCTCAATTGCCATTAAAATGGATTCTGCTTTTATTCCTAAATACTGGGAGTTCAAAGCATTCAGTGGCCCCTTAAGAAAACTAAGCTGCGCTGTACGTCAAGTTTGGTGAACAGCCCGAGAGAGCCCAACAGCAAACCTGAGAGAAAGCCAGCAGTATTTGGGGAAAACCAGCTTTCATTTATAAGCTCTAGATGAAATTTTCAAACACTGGGCACCTCAAATTACACCTCTAGGCCAACAACCTGAATAAACAGGACCCGTAAAGACAAATCAGGAGTGCGAGCGACTCGCACAACTTGGCCCCAAACAAAAGGCTTCGTTTCTTGGCACGCGACCGCAGTAGAAAGCCAGCAGTATTTGGGGAAAACCAGCTTTCATTTATAAGCTCTAGATGAAATTTTCAAACACTGGGCACCTCAAATTACACCTCTAGGCCAACAACCTGAATAAACAGGACCCGTAAAGACAAATCAGGAGTGCGAGCGACTCGCACAACTTGGCCCCAAACAAAAGGCTTCGTTTCTTGGCACGCGACCGCAGTGGTTCGGCTCCACCGCCGGCGGGTTTGGGGCGAACGCGGCAGCCTGGGTAACCCGGCAGGCAGATCTCCCTTTTCCTCCAGCCTTCCCGCGTCTGCGTATTGCAGAGCCTCAGCTCTTCGAGGTCCCTCTGGACGCAGATTTCCTACTAAGCCTAATGCTTCTGATCTGCGGTCGTCCTGTTGAATTCGATAGAATTACTCCCTTAAGCGCAGAGCTCAGCAGGACACGTTTGCCGGACCGAACGCCGTGAAGAGATCTCAATGCGCTGCAAGTCTCGACCGCAGGTGCACGCACACACGTGCACACACCCTCCCCTCCCGCCGGTAGTTTGGTGAAGCCCCCCCCTTCCTTTTTTCCTGCAGTGTTCTTATTCTGAATTTACTCATCCACTCCAAATATCTCACTTGCCTTTGCCCTGCTAAACACAAACTAAACCTCACATACTTAAAAAAAAAAAAAACCAAACCAACCCCATTCTTTCTGCCATTTTAACCTTTTCCCTTCTTGATTTATTCTGAATAATAAAGCAGGCTATAAAGTTCCCGCAAATTTTTTTTTTCCAAAAAGTGAAGTTCACCTAGCAGAAATTGCAGTGACCCCTGCAGAGCCATTACTGATCACACTGACCAAGTCAACACCTTTCAGTCTGCATAATTACACCCCTATTGTGATTTACATTATTGAAAGAGAACGTGGATTGAGAATGTGCATTTTGTTTGCTCTTACATTTTCTAAATTATTTATTCTCCTGCCCCCCCCCAACTTAACGGAATAAACATTTTTAAGGTCCTAATTCTAGTCTGACATGTGGATTCACAAGGGATCTGCATCTATTTACTGCCATGTATATAAATTAATTCACTCAGGAAGGTTTGCTACAGGAATGAATAATTCATGGCAGAAGTGCGAGCTCGTACACTGATTACATAAAAATCCTGCTAGTGACTCGCCACTACCAAGAAAGCTTTAATTTCACCTCCTCCTCTGATTTACAGTTGTTTAACCTTTAATTGTTGTACAAAACGAGGGTAAGCTGATACTTAAATTAGTATCTAATAACTGTGAACATCTCGCGCAGAGAAGCGGGTGGGTGACTGGGGAAGCGGGGCCGATCCGAGCGGGCCAGGTCACACAACCGCTGCGCGGGAGCACGGCAGGTCCGGCTCTGCGTCCATCACCCTGCCTCTGGGCTTCCCCCAACCGACAGCTCCTACACGGGGCTTCACTGTGGCTGTTTGACTTCCTGGGGGCCAAATGCCTTTTTCTCCCCCACAAAAGACTTCCAGCAGAAGTCCCAGTGCAACAAGCAAGCCGATGCGATCCGGGTTGATGTCGAGGGCTGACGTCATCCCGCGACCGGTCTGTGTCTAAGGGCAGAGCCGCGGGTCCCTCGGCACACCGACGGCGTCGCGTCCCCCACGCGGCGCAGAAGCGGAGACCCCAGCGCCGGTGCGGGTCCACACGGACTCTCGCCGAGCACCAGAGGAAGGGGTCACGCTGCAGGACCGCGGTCCCGCCCTTCACCAAAAACTTCCCACTCTAGACCTGGAAACTGGACTCAGGCTCTGGCAGTGTCAAAGCTCAGCCACGGGATACAGCACACACCATTCTGTTTGCCTGCAGTCTGTGTTAGACCCCAAATTATCTATTTCCCTTGCAAGAGATCACATCCAGAAAAAAACCCAAAAACCAAAACCAAAACCCAACCTTTAAAACACTTCGGCATTGCATTTTCCAGTTTGACATGCGAGAGCTGCATTTGCACAACCAAAGAGGTGAGAAACAAGTACTTATGAATAAAGACGTGCTTTTAACAGCCCGCTGTAATACCCACTTTCCTCCAAGCTTAGCAGACATGTGCAAAACCAGCTCCGCAGGCTGAGAAGTGGCAGCGAGCATTCAGAACACAGCAGTGCAGAATACAGACATCTACTTGCAACGCTTTAAAAATTAAGTGAATTATCACCTCCCGATCCCAGGAGTCCCAAACAACTTGCAAACTGCCTCAACTGTCCAGACGTTTGGCTGAGCTAAATGGATCCTCCTGCCACGGAGGGGGGGTTTGGGAACGGCTAAGATTTCAGATGAACTTGAAGATACCAACAGCGAGCTCCGAGGCTTTTGAAAACGCTATTTTAAATGGCTTCAGAAACAGAGTGGAATTTGCTGGACCGGGCACAGCAAAGCCTGGCAGAGGGCACAAATTACTACTCCAGGCTCGCGCTGTTTCGCCGGGAACCCCCCGGTGCTGCTCCCCCCGGCTCTGCCACCCCAGACCCAGGTTCAGGTTTCGGTTTGAGTTCTGATGGTGGCACCAGGTAAGAATCCCCGTCTGGGAGAGCAGAACTGTAATGCGGCAAGGCAGAGCTGATGTTCCAATAAAACTGCTGAGAGAAACACAACTGCTGCGTGCCAAGAGCCACGAGTCTGCAGAGAGGGAGGAACCCACCTACAAGTCTATTAGCTAAATACACGATAGAGAAATAAAAGCACTTAATGAACAAAACCTCACAAAGTGGCGTAAAAAAGAAGAAAGAAGCCCTCTGATAATGAGGCCCATGGAATGAAGGAAGCATTAAAGAATCCATCTCGTGTGTGTCAACCGATGTCAGCGTAACGCACGGTGAGATGCCTCCTGTGAGGACCAGGCGCGTGTGTGCTGAATGGGAACTTTATCTAAGGGTTGGTCTCTGATGTCGGGCTTAATTCTCAACATCCTCCAGCCTGCAGGACTATTCCTGCAGAGGAATGATAAGGACCACAAAAAGACCCGAAGAGAGAGCTCATTTACCTGGAGACAATGAACAGCAAAGCTGTAATTGTATAATCATACTGCTGCAACTCTGCTGGCATAACAAATCCACGCAGGCACTCCGAGCAAGCAGCTCTTCCTTGGTGTAGCTTACACTGCTTTCAACATTGCATAATTAAGCAGTATAAAGATATATGCCCAAAATACCACAATTATTTTGTTACACCAGCAAACAGCCACATGGCTCCAGTTGATTTCCCACGGAGAGTGCCTCCAGGAGGCAAAAATCCATTGAAATATTACCCACTCTGGGCAGTCACAGTGTAAATGAATGTCTGATTCCAGAGGATTACACATTCAGCCGATCTCTTTCCTCTGAGCAACTTCATAACACGTGGCCTCTTCAAGCGCACCAGATACCGCGCGTTCTCCTCTCCAGCTCATGCTGCGGCGACAGCCGCTGACACCGTACCTGAATCCCTGCTCCTTCGGGGACCGTTATCTTCCACACGCAGTTGAGGCTGTTCAGGTACGGCTCAGGGAAGCCGGGGGACAGGATGGTACCTTTGCGTTCAGTCAAATTCCCACCGCATGGCACTGAAATAAGCACAGTAATGCTTGAACGTGGAAGGACATGGCTTTATACTGAAACATTCTCTTTACAACATCTGTCTACAGACAAAAAAGCAAGCAGAATTGGCTCACGATTAAAGAATAAGATTTATACGAATAATCCTCTTTTCAGTAACTCACTATAACTTCTAACACCGGCAGCGCACAGCCCTCCAGTGCGGGGGACGCTGCGTGCATCAGCCCACGAGACTCGCTCCCGAGGACTTGCTCTCCTCCAGGGGAGGTGTGAGCAGCTTTCAGACAGATCCGATTTACACGAGATGCTGTCCCGGACCCCACAACTGAGTATTGGATCAAAAGTCCCTTCCCGGACATTTGGGGTTGAACATTCCCTTGCTCATAGGCAGCTCTGGCTTTTGTATCTGAGAAGTATGAAATACGGGGTTTTCTTTTGTTGGTATTTTGGGGTTTTTTGTTATTGTTTGGTTGGGGTTTTTTTTAAACCATCCCAAAGGATGGAGTTTCTTTTTCTAGCACAAATTGCCGACCCATTTTGTCTTTTCCTCCCCCAAACCCAAAGATACCTACCCACGCAGGTGGGTACCGAAACGTTCCACTGGGCCAGTGCCCCGGGCATGGTGAGGCACTCGATGCTCCGGGAGCCCTGGAGCGCGTAGCCAGCGCTGCACTCGAACCGCACCACCGCCCCCACCGCGAAATCGCTGCCCAGCCGCCGGCCGTAGCGAGGCTCCGGGACCGAGCTGCACTGGGTGGCACTGGTCCGAGGAACCGCTGGCATTGCGGACAGGAGAAACCAGCAGGTGAGAGCGCAATTACAAAGGAAAAAAAAACAAAACGAAACACGGTTAGAGCAAACATTTTGGAAATACTGAGTGCCAAGTTAAAGATCCGTTAAAAACAACACAGGAATCTGATTATATCTAAACCCCAGAGAGCGGCTGAATCCAAAGAGAGCATTGAGAAGAAAAAGAAATAACGTTTCATTCAAACTTCAGTGAATTGAAGTGATAGTTGAAATAAAAGCAGCTAGGACGTTACAGAACCACGCGTGCTTGCTAAGATGAGACTGTTTGCCTTCAGAGTACTTATAATCACATCAGAAAGGTCATTTCTAAATAGGGAAACCAAGGCATTCAGCAACGACTTTCCAAAAAGCTGGTTTGCCACATAAAGCTAGAGCCTCAGCAGAAAACCCTTCAGTGCTTCTCAGCTCGCTTGGCCTCATTACCATAAAGGACAGCAATTTTAAACAATCTTCTTCATGACGGGAAGGGTAAGAGAAAGAAAAGGGGAATTTAAGTTGTGATGCTGCATTGCCAACTGTTGAAATTGCCTGCGCTCCTGTTCAATACTGGAAACAACAGTCAAAGAAAGAAATGGAGAGTCTGACAGATAAGCGAGGGAAAAACGAGTCAAAGAAATGTCTACTGCTGAGGAGGAAATCAATTTGTATTTTCCTCTGAGTTGCTTTACAATTTATTAGTGTTTAATGCCTGAGTTGCTGGGAAGGGAAAACTGTGGAGATGATGAACACATTAGCTATATTGTTTGATTTTAATTTGATTCAGAGAGATGAATGTCAAACCCACTGTCAAAGGCATCACGCAAGATGATCAGCAAGAAGCTGAAGTCCGACATGTGTCAGCGGTCTGGGGAGGGGAACGGAGAGGCAGAAAGGATCCAGTGTTGATGATGCGCTACTTTGGACTAATCCAAGACAGCCCAAAGACTTACAGATCTGTACCCCTGCTCAGATAACCCCAGCTCAGCCGTTTGCGACCGACCAGCATGTGCTTGGCCTCTCCCCAAACCAGGGACAGAAGCGAGCCCGGGTGCCCGACCCCGCAGCTCCGCTTTCAACACGCTGCTGCAGGCTCCGGCTCCTTCACCTCGGGGGAACCGGCCGCACACGTGCACCACGGAACGGGGGAGGCTTTGGGAGAGGGAACTCCTCGTTTGCGTAAAAATGAGAGTAAATGCCATGAGACCCTGGCCAGGCGGATCAAAACCAGGGCCAGCTCTTTCTTGTAACTCGGGCTTTCCATGCAGTAATCGCTGAAGAGTGTGCAGCTCATAATCAGCGTGCAGGGGGGAGGAGGTAATCTTTACTGATTTAATCAAAACCTTTGCTTTGCTGAAATCTTTAAAGATTACTATCAGAACTACAGTTGTTTTACAATAATTAGGCAGAAATTGAAGAGAACAGATCTCTGGATACTACAAAATCCAAACCACGCTTCACTTCACCCCGGAGAAGGCACAGGTTGGCCCTGCTGCCTGTCCCCACTTTACAGTCATGTGCATGAAAAAGCTTGGCTGAACCACAGACAACCAGACAAAGCATGTGGGTGAGAAAGCCCTTCTGTTTTCCCACTATTCTGTGCATCACTTTCCATTTACTACTTTCAAATCCCTAAGTGGGACTCACCCGATGCAGCACAAGCTGTTACTGAAAGGATCAAGGGGCAAAAGCTTGACAGCAGGAGACCTAAGCTACGACACGCCGAGAGGAAGGATTTTACAGAGTTGCTAGACAACTGTTCAGCTGCTTACACTGAGAAATGTGCTAAAACGCCCGTGGGAGAAATTGCTCGGGTATAGATCTCAAGAACTTGCTGTGTACTCGGGGCACGATTCAACGAGACACTTCTGATACTAATCCTGGGACGTGCCAGGGTTGAGGCAGAGTGAAAAGGGAAGGTCTGAACACGAAGTACCTACAGGAGCCAGGCAGCAAGTTCACTGCTACCAGAATAATCTCCTGTGATATTTCCTGGCCGGACAGGAGGCGTGCAGTGACCCGCAGACACCAGAAGCAGTCCAGGACGCTGCACAACATCACTGGAGTTCTGGCCGTTATCTCGGGACCAACCTGGGAACATCTCCGGGACACAACTGTACTCACCTTGGTAGACAAAATGAAAACCTTTGGCTGTAGATTGACCCTTGGAACTGAATTTGATGAGAATCTGGTTGGTGGTAGCTAACGGTAACGATTCACCTGGAGGAGGAGAGAGAGATTACGGCAGTAGCTATGCAAACAGGCTGCTCAGAGCACCGTGTCAAACGGCAGGCTGTATTTTTATCTCGCTTTTCCCAGCAGCCACAGGGACACGTCCCCTACCTGTGTGAGAGCCCGAGAGGGAGCTGAGGAGCCGGGAGTGCTGGTTGGGGCCATCGTGGACTTCGATGACGTCGTTGAGCGCCGTCTGGAAGAAGGCGAATTGCCCGAAGACCACTGCCAAGAGAGGGAGCGCCGGT